TGTAGGCAGGAGATTTTGGGCCAGGAGGTCGCAAACCAGAGCGGAGTCCTGGTGCGCTCCATCTCCCAGCCCACAGCAGCCAAGAGGAGAGGGGTGATGGCCCTCTTCCCCCAAAAACACGGGCTGGCAGGACACAGCAGCCTGTTTCCACTCCTTTTTACCTACCCGATACCAGACGCTGCCCAACACCAAGCACCCACAGACACAAAGTCACTCCTGATCTGCCGCGCATCACACCGCCGATGGCTGCTGGCCCAGCCTTAGCACCTCGGCGGCTGCATAGATGAGCAACACAAGTGCCTCAAGGCAAATAAATACCACGGGCCACCCCGGCGTCCCCATCTCCCACCGAAGCACGGAGTTGATGGTGCGAAAACATGCTCAGGAGCACCACCCAAGCCTCCCACCACCCGAGGACCACTAACAACAGCTCCCCGCATTCCCAACCTGGAATTTCTCCAGGTGGCAACCACACGCACATAACTCCTCGTGCCACCAAAACCACCCCAAGTGCGGCCGCAGGACAAGCCCCGTGCCCAGCCCTGCTGAAAGCCACACACATGAGCCTGCGCCCCAGGGAAGCCCCAAAGCTGGAACAGCACGGAAGCAAACCGGCCTCCACAACCCTCCCCAGGGCGATGGGCTGTTCTCCAGCACAGCCATAAAAGCCACCAAGCCATAGCCAAGAGCTTTTTTATCCCCATTATCTCCGTACCAGCGGTAGCAAGCAGGAGGAAAGAAGGAAAAGAAGGCGGCGGCTGTGCTGCTGTGTACACCCATCACTGCCCACCTCCAAAACGTGTAGCAGAAGGCTGAGCCTACGTGCAAAAGGGTCCCATAGCATCAGGGAAGCCCACAAGGAGCAGAGGGGCTTCCAAAAACTTCACCCAAGCTAACGCTCCAGGAGCTTGCTACCATGCTCAAGCACAGAGAGAAACACAACCCCCCCACATAGGAGCTCTTCCATATGGACCAACCCCTAAAAATAATACAGAAAATACCTTTCTTGCCAGAAAAAGAGCAGCAGTGCCGCCAGGGACCTCTTCGCAGCTCTTTCTGCAACCGCGCAGCTCGACAAACCATCAGCCCAAAGGGCAGCTTAGCACAAAGCCGCTACCCAAGCAGGACGAGCCAAATCCTTGGAGAAAGTGGAGAAAATGGGAGCTGGGAGGGGAGCAGCTGGAGGGAGAGGGGAGGGAACGAGGCCCAGCTGAAACCTATCTGCTCAGAGGCTGGAGGTGCCTTTTCCCACGGGGCTTAAAGGGCCACAAAAGAATAAAGCACATCGAGAAAGGTTTCTGTGAAAAAGATGACTCGTAATAAAGCACCTGCCAGTCAGACAGCAGAAAAAGTTATAGACACATGAAATGGTTGAGGAAAAGTGTTCTCCAGCCTTTTTAAGCCATTCCCATGATAAAAATGAGGGTGAAACTTGTGACAAGTTGTTGGGAACAACAGCCCCGTGAGGAGACACCCGGGGAAAGGATGGCACGTTCCCCCCCACCCCTCAAAATCACAGTGCGTGTCACTCCGCCTGTGCTAAAATCACTGCAGGCACGAATGGATGCAGCTCCATTACAGTTCCTGAGCTGCAAACTGCTGAGGCACGGCGGAGTATTATGGGATTGTACCAGCAGACGCCTGCCGTCCTCTTCCTCCCGGGGAGGCAGACTTCTGCGTGACCCCCTCCAGCCCCTCTGATGTTCTCAAGCTCAAACCCTGAACTGAATTTGATTTATTATATATATTTTTTCTTCTTTTTCTTTTCTTTTTTTTTTTTTTTTTTTATCTCAGCTGTAACTGCAACATCCTCTCCCTGAAGGTTCATCATCAGCCTCGGTGCTAATGAAAAAATGTGATAATGTTTGCCTGCTTCCTGGGGGTGGTGGGAGGCACAATCTAATTAAAGGTTTGCCAGCAGCCCGAGCGCTGCAGATGGATGGTTGTTCGGGAAGTGCAAAGGATTATTATTGTTATTATGACGAATGCTAACACCGGCTCTCATAAACAGGCAACAGAGGAGGTGAAGCAGGTGGTACGAGCACAGGCAGGGCTTGTTCTGCTGCCTACACCATCATTTCAGCCTTACATAAACGTGGCCCCGAAGGGCGGCAGCGGCAGATCCTATCTCTGCCCGAGGAATGAGCGGCTCGTGGACGGGCTCTTGTCTTTCTAGCTGGAGGAAGAGCCAGCTGCCAAGCCATTTGGCTGCATTTCGGAGAGGGTGCGGGGGGTTGTTGGCTGGGTTCCTTCGTAAGAGGAGGGTAGATGCCACCACTGGGATGCTCAGCAGCTCCGTCCTTGCCTGGGCTGGGCAGGCCACGGATTTCAGGCCGGGTGGCAGCCCCCACCCTCCATCATTACCATCTAACAACATCAGGCTGCAGTTAGACAAGACAAAACCCACGCCGAGACATCGCCCAGGGCAGCGCGGTCCTGGCAAAGCCAACTGTGGGTACGGCTACAAATGTACCCCTGGTCCCCTCCAGCTGCACGGCCGACGGGTCCGGTACAAAGACACTCGCTGGTAATTCAATTTATATGGTGAAAAACATCATCCAGGCCTACTGGTTGATACCAAGGTTGTGTTAAAAGCAAAACTCGATTTAGGACTGTCCTAGTATATATGTATCACATAAAGAAATAAATATGAAGGTGGGTTTATGATTGCACCTCACTATATAATAAACCATCTCTGGACCAACTCCTGTGCCCCCAGCAACCTTCATGCCCATGTTTGGGTACCCAGGCTATTTACGAACGTGGGTTCTTAGCTGAAACGAAAATCCTTAATTCTCACTCAGAAATGAACACCACCTGTATTTGCTTACTTAATCACAGGCTGTATCTCTCCTCCTTCGCTGACCTTCATACCTCGGGAAAGAATGTGCTCCCGCGTTGGAAAACAAATTAGCGAGCGCTATACTGTCAGTCCTGGGATGTTTGTAGGAGCGGGGAGTTAATGAGGCAGACAGAAACCATTCCAGACACCGAGTGCTACGGAGGGGAAAAGTGTTTTGTGGCCACGCGGTGACAGGGGACAAAGAAAAACTCGGGGTGAAAGGAGACAGCAGCGAAGGGAGATGCGAAGAACTAAATCAACCTTCTCCCACCTTCAAAAGCAAGGAGTGCTTTTAAAAAGCGAGGATGGAAAGAACCTCTGACTTTTGGGAGCAGCAAAGGAGGAGGGCTGCCACAAGGTGACCGCGACCTCAGCAAGACCGGACTGGGTTCCTCCATGGCTTTGCCACCCTGTGCTGCCCTCGTGCGGCTGTTTAATGGGAATAGTGATGTTTGGTCTTTTTTTTTCCCAAAGAAAAGAATGCAGAGCAGACCAGAAATAATTCAGAGCACCAATTAATCTCGGTTTGAGTCCTGCAGCTCTCCAGGTAACGCGATTTGTCGGCGTGCAAAGAGGGTTTTCTCTGCGCGCGTGGAGGCGGCAGCCGGCAAATCGCTCTTCGTCTCATTGTCGTAGCGAGAGGAATTTGGGCGGTTTAGAAAAACCACCCCATTTGGCAGGGGAAAAGAAAAAGAAAGGATCTGCAAAACGCTCCTCGTGTTCAGCGGTTACAACTCGCGCGACTTAATTGCGCGGCGTTTATCAGATGGATTTAGGGAGATGTATTGCTCCGCTGCTTAACTCTCTTCACACCAAGCCTGTTTGCAGCTCCCGCTATCCAGCCCTGCAAAATGAACCAGCTCGGCGGTGGAAATGCAAGAAAGCTGGCATTCAAGGAAAGCTAGTTAGTCTTTAAAAGCCAGTTAGTCTTTCCAGCGCTGTTAATAAGCAATAAAATCCAAGCTACAGCCCCCTTAGTCTGCAAGAAGCCCTTCGCGCAAGGGGAAGGGGTGTTAAAAGATGAGTTTTGCCGATTTCCCCGGGTGGGAGCACGCAGTCCCAAACGCCGGGACCTGCTCATCGCTGCTTTTCTCTTCGGTCACAAACACGAGCACAAAAATCAGCTGCCATCTATCTGCCTCCGTCACCGCAGCAGTGAGAAGGCGCCAGTGCAGAGCATCCTTCCAGCCGCAGGGTTTGAGACACGAACAGCTGCAATTCAGCTTGCGCTGGTCTTTATTTTATATATCTTTTATATATATATATATATAATTTATTTATTTATTTAATCCCGGTACATTTTGGCACATTTTCCTCCTCTTTAGGAGGTGACATTTCCAGTCACTTTTCGCAATAAATTAGCTGGCACAGGCAGGCTAAAAACAACACGTGTGCCCGTTTCACCCCACTTTCCAAGCTGAAGGGTTTATTTTCAATGGAAAACGGGGACGTTTTATGAATCCCTGCTGCTTAGCTGTGCATCTTACAGCCCTTCAAGCTTAACAGGTCTGAGGGATGGATTTGTCTAAGCTATTATTACACACACTATAATTTATCAGACTTAAATTTAAGGATATCAGCTCAGTGAGGATTTTTATTTCACATTTATTCACTCTTTCAGCTTTTAAGTGAAGATGAAAACTATTAACAAAACCTGTCTTTAGTTCAAAGCTTCGGTAAGAAAATCTGTATTGTGCACAATCAAGCCATGATATAATCTTGTATTTAACACTTTCAGTCTGCCTCCTTGGGATGATGCTTCGGAGGTACGTGACCTCCGCCTGGAGGTTTCCTTGACTTCAATCACAGCAGGTCAAAGCCTCCAGGCGCTTGGAAAAGTCAGCTGGCCAAAGGATGCTGTCCATCACTATGGAAACACGCCTGGGAACCCATAGGGTGAAGCGAGCTCCTCCTGTTGAATTTCCGCGCTTAATTTTGTTGCTAAAAATCACTGCAAACAGTGCTCATTTCAGAGAGGGTGATATTCGGGTATGGACGGAGGGCATCTACCGCCTGTGAGCTCAAAGTGCTTCCCAGCAGCAGAACGGTGGCCCCTTTCTTTGCTCAGAATATAAATATTTCATTAGATTTAAATTATTTTTTTTTTCTTCTAGAAAACGGATTCTTCGCATATTTGGAGAAGGACATCGCACCCACTTCACTCTTCATCAGATCCATTCAAGAAGGCGGCTTGGGAGCTCGTGTCGCACTTTTGCTGCCGGACTCCGAGATTGATGTAGGGCTCTCCGCTGCCTCTCCGGCACCTCTGGATGCAGCTGGAACACACGAGCAATAAATCACCGTTAGCAAAAACCTCCCCAAACTAGTGCCCCTCGCCAAACTGCTCAGGGGAGAAACTATTATAGAGGTCCTAAAACGCTGTTGGGGGGGGGACGGGGAACTGGGTTTTTTTTATTCTGTATAAAGTATCTGCTTGCATAGACTGGACCGTCCCTTCTGTAGCCCATGTCTCAGCAAACCATGCAGCATCCCTTCGAGCCTCGTAGGCTGTCGGAACACCCTTGAAAGTGGGATAACGTCCCCTTCCCATCCCCTTGGAGAAGGCGTAGGTGGGGCTGGCGACGTTTCAGCCATCAGACAGCGGTGTTGTACCTCTAATAACTCAGTGACCATCACCACTTTGAAATCCTTGCGGGGGAGGGGACAAAGAGTCAGGGGGTCCCGGTCATGCTTTGTTTTCTCTATCGAATTAAAGTTTGACTTCCAGCACCCGGTGCAGAGAAAAAAAAAAGCAACCTGACTTCCAGCAGCGGCTTCGGGGGCTCGATTATTTGACTTCTCCGTGTTTAATGCTCGCTGACATGATTTTGCATTCTGTGCGCTCGACAAATAACGCGCACGCTTGTCGCCGTGCCCTAAAACTTGCAGCGGTCAGGGGCTGCTTATTCAGCTGTGACTTTGTACTCCAGGATCGGCTGGAGAACATCTGCATCTCACTCCAGCCATCCCCATCCCTGTCTGCCCACCCGGCTCCTGCCCAAATTCATGCCCCAGCCGTACCAGTAAGCCAGGGTGTAGTTTATAGCCAGGATGGCCACGGCGGGGGGCCAGTGCCAGAAGAAGCACATGGTGAGGAACATGATGTTGCTGTGGTCCTCCTCATCCCACACCGGACCTCCCCATGGCCGGAACAGCACGACACCGATCTGGGTGGAACAATCAATTTATTACCTCAGGGGGAAAATAAAAATCAAGGTATTGAAGGCCTCCAGCACCCCTCTGTCCATCTCGGTTATCTCCACGATCCACGTGATGACCGAGGGACTTGAGCCCTGACCAGGACAGTGGATTTTTGCTGAGGCAGTTCTGGTCTCACTGAAGTCCGGCCTTGCAACGAGAGGCCACACAAAGCAAGTCTGCGCCTGCGGTCTCTCTCTTTTTTCTATGCAATATCCGGGCGCAATTGTCCCTCTGCAGTGCAGACTGCTGGCCATCCTTTAAAAACTCCAAATTTTATATTTTTGCTAGCTCAGCACAGTTTCCAGCCTCCGATCTTGAATTGGCGCAGCAGCCCCTGGGGCTGGGAAAGAGGAGGGGAACTCACATTTCTTTTCGGCAGCCTAATTTTGGGAATGGTTATCCCCGGCCGATTTCTTTGCTTCTCCAACTACTACCAAAGCAAGCGGCTGGCCGTATTTTTACTCAGCCATTTTATTGCTCGGTGGGGTTTGCATCTTTCCACTAGACCAGAGGGAGTGCTGTGGGGTGCATTAGGCACATTAAGCAATTAGTACTTGGTCGTTAGATACTGCGGAATGTTGCTCGCTCGCTGCGAGCGCTCGCTTTCGCTGTTCCCCCCAGAGAAGCAATAAGCCAAGACAGCAGTCATCAGAGATGACCTGTGATGAGTAAATTTTCATTCTGGGTTATGATCTATTTATGAAGCGAGCCCGGCAAAATTATCCTTCGGAGACGCGCAATTGATATGTGATGTACGGCTTCTTCTCCTCTTCCCCCCATTGCTCTCCTACCTCGCTGCTCTGCTCCGCAAGAGAAGGCAGAACTGACCTGCCAGAACCACGTTCCCTGGACGATGGTGACACCGGCTCTGAACATCTCCAGGACAATGTTGTCGCGGAGGAAGACCTCCAGCATGACGCTGCAGGCCCCTGAAAAGATGGCGATGAGCAGCAGGGAGTGGATATGCTGATCCAGCATGGGGCGGTGAAGGACGTGATAATAAAAGAGACAACCTGCCAAGATACGTACCACCCTTAGAGTAGAATTAACGACACCAACCATGACCACAAAGCCCTGGTGGAGTAAATCACCCGCCTGGTTGGTGGACTGAGACAGGTCACCGTGAAAACAAGGGACTCCACATAGCACCATCCCACCAGGTCTCCTAATATCCCACCGTCCTGGAGGGATGAGATGCCCAACCCTGGGGCAAGGAGGATCTGGGCAAGATGGGGACCAAAGGCAGAGGACAACAGAAGGGTGGTTTTCTTCCCATTTTGGTGCTGTCACCTCTTCAGATCACCCTCTGCTCCTAGCCAGCCTTCTGCTGCGTCCTGCTTTTCTATCCCTAAACCTCACCATTTTCTTCGGAGCTGGAAATGATAAATTTCCTTTTCTTCCATGCCAACCCGTGCCCGTTGAACTGCCCCCGCTGCTGCTTCAAAAACCAGGGGAGTCGGGGAAGGGAAAATAGCACGAGATGTGCCTTCATTAAGGGGTTTTCTATATAAGCAAGACCTTCATTTCCTATTGTCTTTTCCAAGAGGGGTCTGAAATCCTGGCTGGCGACTCGCGAGACAGCCCGAAGACAAAATGATACTCATGATGTGCTGAAGCCGGAATAAGTCACTTGAATTCACCACGTGCAACGCAAGCAGATGAGGATGACGATGCCTGCAGTGCAATTAATGGCTCTCGGGGGACAACGTGGGGCACGCAAACAGCTCTGCAGATGTAAGATAAATGTGGCGTCCACCCGCCATTTATCATAACGAGGAGACTCAGCCTGCTGCTTTGTACCGCTGTCAGCCCAGAAATCCCAAACCAGGGGAAGCCAAGACCTATTGATGCCTGTATTTCTCATCTTGCTACAGATCGCCCTTCCATAATATATCACCTACAACGCGTCCTACCTTCAGGGGCGTTCAGAGCGATATCTCCGTCTGGCAAATGTTGGTCCCTCTCTGACTCACCCTCCAACATCCCCGCCCCCGAATTAAGCGCCACCTTCTACCGACCTTCGACGAACACAGCCACGGAGAGCATGAGGCGGTCCAGACCCCGCGGCACCACCTGGGAGATGTAGGTGAAGACGTCCACCACCCCGGAGAGGCCGTAGAAGAGGTACATGGTGGTGTGCTGCCAGTTCATCAGCTTCACCCAGTCGCGGTTCTCCCCGCTGTAGAGGTACATGTGCGGACCGTCCGGGACGAACTGCTCTGCCAGCATCCCTGCGTGGACACGCAAGAGCATGTCGGTTCTGGTGGTTTATACGCAATGATGGTTGGTGCTACTCATCGCTGCGGGATTGAGGCGGGGTATGAAGCATTAGGGGGAAAGGACTGGATATAAAAATCCTGTATTAATGGCAGCTCAGCTTTGGGAAGGGCTACGAGACTTGGTCTTTCCACATCAAATTCTATTAGAGATCACGACAAGATGAACATCGAGAACACATCCTTCCATGTCTGGACCGGTTTCTCTGCACTAAGGGCTCCAGTACAGTCATTGCTACAGGCTGGGAAGTTACCAGCATGGCTAGTCAAATAAAACCCTTACCTATTACAGCAAAGGTGATTTTGATTCCCCCTTCGATGGCATCCACACGCTGGAAACAGTAAGTCCTGTGGGATTTCTTATTTGCTTTCTGGCTGAGATACTGCAGCGGATATTTCACAGACCACCAGAGCCCAAAGAGCAGGAAGAAACTGCCTGGAAGCGCGTGACCCTTGAAGTTCGCCATCCTGACAACGTCCTCCGACTACAAGGCAAAGAAAAACAATGTCATTATACAGCTGACACCGGTTATTTGACGTAACGCTGGGAAAAATGGGATTTCCCTTTCAGGGAGGACTGGAAAAGGCTTGACCAGGAATAGGAAGGAGCACTGGGGAACCCTCCAAGGGTGAGAGGTGGGAACATCAGGGACCTCCCTGAGGTCCTTGCCCCACAATTAGTAAATACCTGAAAAAAAACAGAGCCCAGACTAGTTTAGCAGAGGCCCCATATCTGCTGCAATCTCTGACGCATCCCAGCCTGAACTTTGCACCCCCTGGGATCCCTCCCAGCAGCAGCTCCTGCTTTTCCCACCCTTCTGCAGGTATGAGCGAGAGCGTCCGCTGCAGACCGGGGCAAGGTGGGCTTTTCGGGACCAGGCAGGAGAGAAAATACACCAGGAAAGCAGTAACGTCTTAGGGATAAACATCAGATAAACATCTTTAGCTCCTTGAACCGCCACAGAAGTGATGGGCTGTGTCCAAACACTTTTTAAATTCCCAGAATTTTTTCAGCTCATGAAGGGGGGGAACCCACCCCTCACCCCCCACCCCACATCTATTTCACAAAGCCAAAGCATTTGGTTAAAAACATAGCTGCAAAAAAAACCCACAACAAACAAACCCAAAACTGCTGGAAACAAAACGTTTTGGTTCTGGGCAAAGAAACCAACTCGTTCCCCGCATGACCACCTCCTCCCGCCCTTTATTCTCTCTCCGGAGCTTCGCTAAGTCGGGATTCCCACCGCGCAGAGCCCGGGGATCCCAGCCGAGCCGCTCCAGCCTCCGTGCCCGAGCGCACACACGTGCACCATTTGTAGGAGAGCCGGGGGACCCGTTTCCTAGGAGAATTACAGCAATTAAAACCCAGCCGGCTCCTGTTTGCCATTTGCCGGTTTGCTTAATTAGGTGGAGAAACGATTAGCTCTTTGATGTGGGCTCCAGCATATGTTCGGGGGCCTGCCTTGGCGCGATCGCAGGTCGGTTGTGTCAGGCCGGTCAATTAGGATTTTTTTAATTGATAGCAAAGGCTGTGCTGGCGGCACCCAGGACTTCCTTCACCATTTATTAACGCTCTTCTCCGCACTGAGCTGAGCTTAACGCCGGGCAGAAACCCGCTCCCTGGTGGCGTGGATGCCATCCGTCCACGCAGCAAGGGGCTGCGGAGTTTGGCGCAGGACCTGAGCCCCCCATCCCAGACCCCCACAATCTGGTTTTCCTTAAACTGCCTTCCCTGGCTGCATTTTGGGCTTCAGTCCCCACTCGCTGCAAATATAAACCAAAAAAAGAAAAAATAATGCTCTTATTCTGCTGTTGCCTGCCTTCTGCATAAATCATAGAATCACAGAATGGTTTAGGTTGGAAGGGGCCTTGAAGACCATCTCGTTCCACCCCCTGCCCTGGGCAGGGACACCTCCCACCAGCCCAGGTTGCTCCAAGCCCCGTCCAACCTGGCCTTGAGGACCTCCAGGGATGGAGTTTCCCCAACAATAAAGGATAACTTGGGCGAGAGGGTGAAGACGGCTTGCTGCTGCCAGCCTTTGGGAGAGGAGTGCGGTCGCTTTGGCTTTATTAATATCTGATTTCTGGTCGGTTTGTGCCGGGGACACCTTGTTTCGCCCCGCTAAGCCCATGCCCCCGGAGCTCGGCTACGTGAAGATACCATCTCCCAGAGGCAGGAAAATCCACCGGGGTGAGACCAGACCTGCTAAAACCCTGTCACCGACCTGCCCGATTCGAACTGGTTTAACCAAACCAGCTAATCCAACACCTCGAGGGAAGCAAACATTGCCTCCTCCTGCAAACACCACCCCGGTGCACGCAGCTACGCGGCTGACGTCCTTGCAGGCTGGTCCCACAGTCCTGCCTTCACCAAATTCCCGTGAGCTACCGCTGAGGGTTTCTTGCAAAGAAATTTAGGAAGAGATTTGATCCCAGGGTGGAAAAGCTGTGCGGGGAAGGATTATTTTTTTACCTACCCTGTCGGCTAAGCAGCTCTGCCGGCTGCTGTTTGCAGCGCTGCAAGGCTCTGCCTTATTTCTTGACTTGAAAGGAGAGATTTATTGACAGCGGGTGCATTGGGTAATTAAACACAAAATCAAAGCAAGACGCCATCCACCAGCAATGGTAGCACAGTCCAGTGGGTTAATACAATGGTCTTTATAGTCCTTTGAAAAAGACAACCGGCGAATCGGAGCATCCACCTGTATCCCTGGGATTAGGGCAGCGTCATTCCTGACCCAGGGAGATGGCTGAGAAATCTGTATTTTCGGGAGGAGCCGAGAATCCCATCACGTATGTGCAAGGGTAGAATATCAGGATAATGACTGAAAGCAGAACTGAACCGATGCCGGAATATCACCAGAAGAAGTAACGCAGCCGTATCATGCCATATCGATGCTATAATTATAACACTATCACAGCAACATATAGTCAAATATATAACCCCATTAAGCAGTTATAGCTTAAAGGCAGATATTTAATGGGACCTGATGGTTTCCCACATAAGATCGCCGCGGCCAAAAGAGGATGAACTAAAGAATGCACTGATCGAGCAAAGGAGCTTAAAGGTCACTTAGATGGAGTAGGGCAGCCAGCACATCCCCCTTACGGGGCTGATGTGTGCTGGGCTGAGCTCGGCAGGGTGACGGGCACTGTTTCGGGGTCGCTGCCCCCCGTAGCCGCCCCATCGCTTCGCTAGCAGGAAGCAGGGCGGCTCACCTGGGACGCGTGACCAGCAAATCTATTTCTCCTGCTTCTCTTCCTCCTCTGAAAACATGCAAAAGGCGAGAGTGGGCGGGGTGGGGTGGGGGAGGGCAGAAAAAAAATCCCCAAACAATTGTGTTTTCAACTGTGAGCAAACAGCTCTCGTTTATCCCGACAGCTCCCAATGCAGCGAGGCTTTGCCTGCAATCGCTGGGGGGAAAAGAAAAAGCTGAAGGTCCATCTGATGGTGGGGTTGGCAACAACACCCGCCGCTGCGGGACATCCCTGCAGGGCCTGACTTTGCCCCGTTCCCTCATCACCTAACTGCGCGGTCGATAACGGACCCACGTCCCCGCTGCCTTGTAATGAACGCACTTTGCCCCCTGTTTATTACAACGCCGTGCGCTGCGCCGGCTTAATGATTTACCGTTTCCTCGGTTCTTATCACCTCCCAAAGGAGCTGGTTGCGTCTTGGCTTGGAGCTAACGCTCCCAACCAGTCGGGCAGGCGTCCGCGGGATGGCGAGGAGCCCCACGGGGCTGTCGCCTCCTCCTCTCGCCCTACCCCGGCACCCACAGAGAATCCCTTTTCAGCCAAACCCTGGACCCTTTGGAGTTTTCCAAAGGTCTCCTTTGCTTTACCGAGTGGTTTGGTTTGTTGTTCTTTTTTTTTTTTTTGTAAGGGTTCTATTAGTGCATCGATAATATCTCGGTCAGGGCATCGCTTCCATTTTCCCCAGCTTAGAAATGACAGTCTGAAGTTCACCGTTGGGAAGAGCTCACAGCCGTCACCCCTGCAATTAACTTTGCCCTTCGACCTCCGCAAATCGGGCAGTTCAGACGCCCCAGAGCTGGTTTGCTCGCCGAGGGATGCGCCGCCTGCCTCTCGCAGCATCTGCGGGCGACAGGGACGGTCCCTGGGGAAAGGCTGACTCAGTGGAGAAGCAAAATGCCTTGGCTTGTGGGAAAAAAAAAAAAAAAAAGGCTGAGCTCAGGCTGAGCTGGGGAATGCCACTGGGGTGTATATCTGGATCTAATGAAGCTATTTCCAGCCCTCTCGTGGTGGTTTGGGTCTCCTCATGCTGAATCTGAGACTGCAGGAGGACAGCATCCAACCCAGACCGACAGCAGCTGAGGTGCTTTGGCCAAAAAAGCATCCTCCATCAGCCCGTTTCCTACCCGGCGTGTTCTCCGTGAGCATCTCCCAACGCAACATAACCCCTCGGCCCAAATACCCCTTCCCCCCAGGAGGCTGGGAGGGAAGGCAGCGGTCCCGACTGGAGATGCGGAGGTGAGAGAACCGCGCCTCCGAGGGCAGAAAGATGGCAGAGGAGAAGAAATGTCAGAAGAGGCATCAAGAAACCTCAGCAGAGGCATCACCTACAAATACAAGCTCTCCCGCTGCCCGATGCCTGCCCGCGCTGCCTCAATCCATTACCAACGCTGTCTTATTTGTCTGCAGAGGCACTTCTAATCATAGCAGCGCTTCCATTAGCTCCCCCAGGAGCTGGATCCCTAATGCATTAATGTCAGACCGAAGCCCCACTCTGAACCATTTCAGCCCATTATCCCCGGTTTTCCTTCTGTCTCTGCCTCCATCCACACCGGGGAGCGCTGACGGTGACACTGAGCAATCATGTTATTTGTTACCAACACTCGCGAGCCCAGCCACGTCTGCCAGCCCAGGAAAGCGACTTCTCTGCCTCTAAAGGATCCTTAGAGGCTTTAGCCTTGGGTTAAAAATTATCATCATCACTGGAACCTATTAGGCTCAATTGCCGGGGAATATCTGAAGGACCATCAGGTGCTGCGGGAGCATGTACGGCGCCTGCTGATAGACACAGGAGATAGACCGCGCTAAGCCGGAAACGCTGCGATGGGGAAAACTCAGCGTGGATGTTCAAACCGGGATGAAAGCGTCACACTCGGGATGCCGGACCTGAGATCTGTTTATAATAGGCGCAACGGACCCACCTGGAAAGAGACGCCGGGGCTGGAGAGGTGGTACCGCTCTCTGCCTGCCGCCTCTTTTTGCCTCCTGTTTTCCAGAGCTTTGGGCTCTCCATCCCCACCCCTGCGCTGAGCCCCGCCGCCGGGGAAGCAGCAAGAAGCAGCTCCGAGTTACAGCCCAGCGGAGAAAGCTGAGAAATAAAACAAATTAGCCAAAGCCATCTTAATTACAGGGGCTCGGAGCGGGCGCTTCATCATCCCTTCGCTTCTCTTTACGACCTGCAGTTGTTTATTTGCGGGCTTAAGGCAACGAGGGCTGACTG